CTGGTCTTTGGGGAATGGAGATGCACTTAGTGTCTCTTTTCCTCATGGGGCTCCATTAATGACTCTGCCGAGAGCCTCCCCTGGAAATCTACCAATACATGTGCAACTGGTGACTGCTATCTGCCCTCCAGCTTCTCACTTCAACTCCAGTTCCTGGCAGAGTTGGGATCCCTGGTAGACTTACAGTCAAGTCCCTGTTAAGCTGGCTTTGTTTGGCGCCCTCCTGTGTGGCCTACAGCTGATTTGTGGGAAGCACACGCTTGGGTCCACAGTTAGTGAAAGCTGTGGTTGCTTCAAATCAGCCTCCTCAATCATTATCCTCTGGCACATGGCAACATCTTTTATGTTTCCCCCAAGAGCATCTGGCTCTAAAGTTTCACTCCAGAGGACACTGGTCTTGTCCCCCCAGGAATCTCTTACCATGCAGCACTCATGTCCTCAGGCAGCACCAAGACCCACGGGGCCACCTGATTGGTGTGAGGTAAGAGAGAACTCTCGTCCTGTTGGGTAGAGCACAAGGGATTCCCTTTGGAGCCTCCCTTATGAAATGCCATGGTTACAGAGAGATTACCGTCGTGACTAGGGGAGCCACTACGCTAGGTATAAACCCCCAAATTTGCCAATCCTGAAGGTTGTTGTCCTTCCAATCAAAGTGTCCTCTTTTACAAAGCCCTTTCTTTGTAGCTCAATTGGTAAAGAATCCGCTTGATATGCAAGGAGACCCTTGTTCGATTCCTGGGTCAGGAGGATACCCTGGAGAAGGTAAAGTCTACCCACTCCAGTATTCTAGCCTGGAGAATTCCACGGACTACATCCACGAGGTCGCAAAGAGTTGGACACGGCTGAGCCACTTTCACTTTCACTTTCCTCTTGAACTCTTCAATTACCTATTGAATTATTTGAAGAACTACACCTCACAGAACTGGTTACCCCCTGCTTCCTTTCAAGTTCTACACAAATCTTTCAGTACCTAAGGTTGGAATGTGGGGATGTTGTCAGTACTGAGTCAGTCGAAATGAATATTTATGTTGATATCCTGCCACATTCACCCTAGGCCACTCACATAACCTTCAGTTCAAAATTTCAATGTCGGACCCTCCCTTTGACTCTAATACTCAGAATGTCACAAACCTAATTGAATGTTGTCACTTCTAAGTCTACCCTGATGATCTCACCTACAGACCCTAACTTTCCACTCTCTGCCAAGAAAGGGCTTATTATCCCATCACCCACATGCACACATCCTATACATCCTTCAGAGTAGACCTCAAGCCCTGAATTCTTCCTCAAGTCTTCTCCTATAAATCCTACTTTCTGCAGCTATGGATCATGGCTGTGGCATATTCCAACCATAGGAATAGTACACACGCTGAGTGCTGGAACTTCCTGAGACCTCAGGACTCAGAACCACCTTCAGAGAAAACTGGGATATAATGAAAGTGAAGATAATCTAATGGTCAAGAATTCATGCATCAAGGAAAAGATGATGTCTATATGATTCACTTGAATTACTCATTTTGCTTCTGAGTATATGTTTTACCTTCAAAAATAGAACATAGGTTTGGGAGAAAAGAAATCAACTCCTTTAAGTTGCATCTTCATTGGTCCTAACACAAGCCTAGAAACACACAAGCTAACTGACTTCATAATGCTTCTGCAAATCCCTGAGAGAAAATATCATCCAAATGGTTCACAAAGGAAATATGTCTGGGAAGTGCATGATTGTTTGCTCTCTAGAGATAATGTTGCACTGATGAATTACTCAGAAGGAACTAACTATAAATATAACTGTGTTATAGCATATAGCAGTGGGGCCTGCAGTGTTATTTCACATATACTATGGATGTTTCTCACAACAGACTTTTCTTCCACGTTGTCTTACTCCATTCATAATATTTGTGATGAACCTTAGAATGAGCAAGTATTTGAGAAGTTAATTTCTTGACATTTAATCTCCAGTCCCTGTGTCCCTAAGTTTCACAGATGCAGTAAACACCCTGTCACTTTCAGAGACAAAATAAAGGACAGATGTAAAAATTCCAGATATTTGTGTTTGAGTTATCTGCCATATTTATCTGAATATAAACTCATCTCTCTATCACTGAAGTTTTGTAATGATTTTAACAAGATAGAACGTTTAATGTGCTCACTACCAGTGTCACAGTCTATGTTGGTAAAATTTTCCCAGAGATTTCAACAGTCACGTAAGGATTTCCTGCTGTCAGGACATTGAAAAAAAAAAAAAAACAACGATAAAAATCAGGGAATGCTTTCAAATAGAAAAAGAAGTAGGTTTCATAAGATGTATCCATCAGGATTCTAGCAGAAAAAAGATGGTCTACCTATAATGAAATACTTGAAGCAGAGTCTAGTGAAGAGGCTTCCTATGAACAATGGATACAGGTTTGGAAATGACAAGGGAGAGGTCCAGTAACACTGAGGAAATTGTATCAGTACCCTAAGTGGTGAACAAAAGGTGGAATCCAGAAGGAGAGCTGGGTGGAGAGATCTCAAGGAGAGGCGCTGTGACCTTCACCTTAGGGTAGCAGCTACTCAGAGGTGACCCTGCGGGGAGAGAGGCAGGAGAACAGATACACTGATCTTGCTTTTCTACCTTCAAGAGATGTCCTGCTTGGATTTCCTTTGGCAGAAACCAAGCAGAGGGCAGACAGCAAGAGATCCCACTGATGTAGTCCATGCAGATCAGCCTCCCAGGCAACAAGTTAGACTGAAGGGGAGAGAGGGGTGAAGTGTGGATGTGCAGAGGCAAACGAAAACTATTTGATAGAGAAGAGGTTTTATGTTACAATTAGGAGCATTTGAAGTTAGGACAGTATGTTAAAAGAGGGAGAGAGCCCACTGGTGGGGTTGGACCCATGTCTTGTGAAAGTCTCCTAGTTGGGAGGACTTGTGCCTCTGCTCTGGTGGACGGAACTGGACTTTGTCTCTCTGAAGGGTGGTGCTGTTTCTAGGAGTGTGTTTTGGGGTGTCTATAGGCTTGATATGGCTTTGCACAGTCCTTCTGCTAATGGTCAGGGTTGTGTTTTTATTTTGCAAATGGTTTGGCGTGAAGTTTCCAGTACTGGAGGTTTCGGGTCTTTGGGTGGGACTTTGTCTTAGCGCTGATATGGAGGTCTTTGGGAGAGCTCCTGTCGATTAATGTTCCATTAGCAAATGTGCTGTTTGATGCAGAAATCTCAAATCCCTAGGGTGTGCTCTGTGACAACCAACAGGGGTGGAAGGGGGGTTCAAGAGGGAGGGGACATATGTATACCTATCACTGATTCATGTTGATATATGGCAGGAACCAACATAATACTGGAAAGCAATTTCTTCCAATTAAAAAATTAAGATGTCTAAAAAGATCAGACTGATGCCTTTGAAAGAGCTTTAAGTTTAGAAGCAAGCAGATACGAATTAAAATTCAGCTCTGTTGATCACTAGGCAAGAATTCAGATGGCTCTAGTCACATTACTTATATTTCTGAGACTCACTGTCATCTTTTCTATAGAATTGCTATCAGAATTAATTTAAATAAAATGACATATAAAATATTTTTGTATAGAAGAACAGGCATGTTGATCTGTACTATACCTAAATGATAGCAAAGAGATACATTTAATGGCAAAAAGAGTAGAGAAAAAAAACAAGAGAATTTGCCAACTTCCACATCTCCATGAACCACAGAATAATGGTGCCAGAGAAGCCCATGCTTCACAAACAAAGTTCTCCTAGGTGTGGATTGAAATAATGCACCACTTATTACATCAGTGGGGCCTACACTTAACATAGGCAAGATTTCTTATTTGAATTTTCCCAGGTTGAATCTTTGAATTCTACAAAATGGATCATTACCTGGTTATGTCAATTTCATAAACTCTTAAATTTGTTGGCATTGTGTGGAAGGACAGGTAGGAGTCAGGAGTGCTGGGGAATGAGCTGGGAAGATATTTAATTCTAGTTAATTCTCACTGCATGGATACCCAGATGATGCTAATGGTAAAGAACCCCCTACTAATGTATGAGATGTGAGTGATGTGGGTTTGACCCCTGGGTCAGGAAGATCCCCTGGAGAATGGCATGGCAACCCACTCCAATATTCTTGCCTGGAGAATCCCATGGACAGAGGAGGCTGGTGGGCTACAGTCCTCAGGGTCGCAAAGAGTCGGACAGGACTGAAACAACTTAGCCTGCTTTCATGCAGCCTTAACTGCATAACAAATCATCCCAAAACATAGTGGTTTAAAAGAACAGCAACCATTTATTTTTCTCAGGAATCTCCAATTTAGGCAGGACTCCATGGGGATGGCTCCTTTTTGCTCTTTGCAGTTTCATCAGTTGGCAGCTGGAGAATCCACTCTGTCTTGCCTCACTTGCAAGGCTGGCAAGCTGATTCTGGATGGCAGATGAAATCTCAGCCAGGGGAGTGGATCAGTGACTTCAGGTTCTCTTCATGCGGGCGACTTGGGCTTCTACTCAGGCTTCCTCACAACATGGTGGGCAAATTCCAAGGGTAACCAATGTGGAAGAGCAAGGAGGCATTTTTCCCTATTTAATCTTAGAAGTCATATGGTATTGCTTCAACCACCCACTATTGCTCAAAGCAGTCACAAAGTCCCTCCAATTTCCAGGTTAGGGACACAGGCCCTTAGCTCAAGGAAGAGAGATCATAAGAGGAATCAGATTATAAGAAGTCAGAAGATAGGGTTTTAACCATCTTTGGAAAATAAACACTACCACATTAACAAGTTATAGTAAACTGAGGAGTAAAAATAAACTTTATACTACCAGAACATGTGCCATATTCTTGAAAGCATATTTTTAATCACGTTGAATGCACTCTGAAATATATTCATCTCAGCTTCTTCCCTTATATTTTTCATTCGTTCTTCATGCTTCTGCAGTAGCAACTTTATTTGTTTATCCTTTTCTTCTTGTGGTTCATTGGCATATTCCTTTTCTATTAGTTTCATTTGGTTTTGCAATTCATCCTCATAGACTTTCTTCAAGCATTCCTCCTGCTGTCTCAGCTTTTGGCCTATGTCCTTGTAAATGGGGTCAGAAAAGTAAGCCCCTTGGTTGTTCTGCACCATCTTGTCTATCAGCTCCAGCAGCTCCTGCACCTGAGCTTCCTTCTCAGCCTGCTCTGTGTTTCTGTTACTGATGGCATAGCAGCGGTCTCCACACTCCTGGAGGAGGCTTCGTAGGTTTACATCTGCATGCTTCAAAAAGTTGCTCAGGCTCTGGTCCCCCAGTTCATCTCTGCGAGTGAATAAGACGATCATATAGTTCATGGCTGCTTTCCCAAACAGAGTCTTGACCAACGCCACGGTTTTCTGCTCTTCCTCTGTGTAGCGGCCCAGCCTCAGGACCAAGACGATGGCGTGAGGCCCAGGACAGGAGGCGAGGACACATCGGCTGATTTCCTTGCAGGTTTTGTCCTGGGTCTCCTTGGTGTCAAAGAGCCCTGGAGTGTCAACAACGAGCAGCTCTCTCCCCTTCCATTTCCGGGATGCTTTCTGACAAACTTTGGTAACAGCGTGGGCTGCAATCCTAGAGTCGAATACTTTTTCCCCGAGAATGGCGTTTGCAGTTGCACTTTTCCCACTTCCCGTCTTCCCTACCAGCACGATCCTCAGAGTGTTATTTGGCGTGGCAGCCATGTTTATATCAAGAGACTCTGGCGCGCAGGCACCCACACCACCTTAAGAAAAGGAGGGAAAGGGGGAAAGGGTCAATTTAGGTAAGCAGGAACCATCCCCACTCTCTCCCCCACCCCCTTCTTTTCCTCCCTGAAAGTTTCTAATATTCTGTTATGCATATTGACCCCGGCAGAGACAGAAAATTTAAACAGTTCAATTGATATTGAAGAAATAACCAAGTAGTTAGAGTTTCCCCACAAAAGTGTCAGGTCCTGATGGTTTCCCAGGGAACTCATGGAACCTTTAAAGACCTGATAATCTCAGTGCTTCAAACTATTCCTGATCACATAGCAATGAAGGAAATGTTCAGTTTTTTCTATGAAGCAAGTGAAATGTTGATCCCAAAGCTAACAAAGATTTCACAATAAATAAAAGTGTAGACATGTCTCATGTGTAAATATTGATACAAAAGTCCTAAATAAATTATTAGATGCAAAAAGCAGTATCACATGAGTAAGTATGATTGTCAGATATACTAGGGTGATTCAACATGAGAGTTTTTACTGTTACAATACATCCCATCAGGAGATTAACAAGAAAAGTAACTAGGTGCAGAAGAGTCATTTGGCCAAATTCAGTCCTGATTCATGTTTAAAGCAGTTCATCAAATTTAAATTAATTGATTCTTCTTTATAAATGTATGTATATTTAAAATAAAAAATTTTTGTTATCACTTTTTTTTCATGCAACTAAAATTGTTGTTCAGCCACTAAGTTGTGTAGAACTTTTTTGTGACCCCATTTATTGTAGCCTGCCTGGCTCCTCTGTCCATGGCATTACCCAGGAATGAATACTAGAGTGGTTTGCCATTTTCTTCTCCAGAGCATCTTACAGACCAAGGGATCAAACCCAGGTTTCCTTCATTGGCAGGTGGGTTCTTTGCCATTGAGCCACCTGGCAAACTCAGCAACTAAAGCAGTTGATTATAAAATTTATTTGAATGAAGGAAAAAAATTTGCCTGGGCAATCAAGCCACGCACAAAAAAATGAGGTAAGACTAGCTTTGCCAGATAGTAGAATATAACATTCTATAATTAAAGCAGTATGATATTGGTGCATGGATAGACAGAACACTGAAACAAAAACAAAGTTCAAATATAGGCTAAGTTGATCACACAATATTCAATTATATTCAAATCATTTACATTATGCTACATTTATATTCAGTAAGATGGCATCTCACATCAATGCAAAGAAAGATGGACTAATAAGGAACATTGAGATAACCATATAGAAAAAATAAAACCGTGTCCATTTCTTCTTGCTGTTCAACTTCCAAATAGGTTAGAAATTTAAATGTAGAAAAAGTAACCCATATAAATAATAGAAGAAACATGAGTAAATCTTTGTAACCTAGGTATAGGTAAAATATTTATAAGATTTGGAATAGAGTAAGTTTGTGTGAAAATCACTTAGTCATGTACAACTCTTTGTGATCCCATGGACTATACCATCCATAGAATTCTCCAGGACAGAATACTGGAGTGGGTAGCATTTCCTTTCTCCAGGTTATCTTCCCAACCCAGGGATTGAACCCATGTCTCCTGCAATGGAGGTGGATTCTTTACCAGCTGAGCCACAGGGAAGCCCAGAGTAAGGAAAGAGAATCCTAAATTTGATTACATAAAAATCAAACAGATATTGTGGGGATATACAAATTAAAATACAAATGTCAAACCAGGGGAAAAAATTTCCCTACTTATATAAAAGAAGGGCCATTTCCCTTTTATACAAATAATATCTCTACAAATGGTCAATAAACACATGAAAAGATCCTCAGCATCACTAACTACTCAAGAAATGCAATAAAAAATACCTTGATGTATCACCCCACAGCAGTCAGAATTGCCACCATCAAAAAGTCTACAAATAATGCTGAAGAGAGTGTGAAGGAAAGGGAACCCTCCTCCACTGTTGGTGGAAACATAAATTAGTATAGCCTCTATGAAAAACAGTGTGGAAGATCCTCAAGAAACTAGAAATAGAGTTGCCATATGATCCAGCAATCCAACTCCTGGGCATATTATCCAGATAAAACTCTCATTTGAAAAGACACATGCAGCCCTATGTTCATAGTAGCGCTATTCACAATATCCCGGATGGGGAAACAACCTAATTGTCCATCTACAGATGAATGTGTGAAGGACTGTGGTTTGTACACACAATGGGATATTGCTCAACCATAAAAGAGAATGAAATATTGCCATTTGCAGCAACATGGATAAAATGAGATGCTTTCACATTTAGTGAAGTAAGTCAGACAGGAAAAAAAAAAATATATGGTACAATTAATATGTGGAATCTAAAAAAGTAAATGACCTTATTTACAAAACAGAAACAGACTCACTGACACAGAAAACAAACTTATTATTACCAAATAAGAAAGTCAGCTGCTGCTGCTGCTAAGCCCCTTCAGTCGTGTCTGACTCTGTGCAACCCCGTAGATGGCAGCCCACCAGGCTTCCCTGTCCCTGGGATTCTTCAGGCAAAAACACTGGAGTGGGTTGCCATGTCCTTCTCCAATGCATGAAAGTGAAAAGTGAAAGTGAAGATGCTCAGTCGTATCCGACTCTCAGTGACCCCATGAAAATGCTCAGTCATATCCAACTCTCAGTGACCCCATGGACTGCAGCCTACTAGGCTCCTCCATCCATGGGATTCTCCAGGCAAGAGTACTGGGAAAAGGGATAAATTAGGAGTATAGGATTTATGGATACATACCACTATATATTCCTTGTGGCTCATCAGGTAAAGAAGCTGCCTGCAATGTGCAAGACCTGGGTTCGATCCCTGGGTTAGGAAGATCCCCTGGAGAAGGGAAAGGTTACCCACTCCAGTGTTCTGGCCTGGATAATTCCATGGACTACAGAAGAACTATACAAAAAAGATCTTCACGACCCAGATAATCACGATGGCATGATCACTCACCTAGAGCCAGATATCCTGGACTGTGAAGTCAAGTGGGCCTTAGGAAGCATCACTACAAACAAAGCTACTGGAGGTGATGGAATTCCAGTTGAGCGATTTCAAATCCTGAAAGATGATGCTGTGAAAGTGCTGCACTCAATATGCCAGCAAATTTGGAAAACTCAGCAATGGCCACAGGACTGGAAAAGGTCAGTTTTCATTCCAATCCCAAAGAAAGGCAATCCCAAAGAATGCTCAAACTACCGCACAATTGCACCCATCTCACATGCTAGCAAAGTAATGCTTAAAATTCTCCAAGCCAGGCTTCAGCAGTTTGTGAACCATGAACTTCTAGATGCTCAAGCTGGTTTTAGAAAAAACAGAGGAACCAGAGATCAAGTTGCCAACATCTGCTGGATCATCGAAAAAGCAAGAGAGTTCCAGAAAAACATCTCTTTCTGCTTTATTGACTATGCCAAAGCCTTTGTCTGGGTGGATCACAATAAACTGTGGAAAATTCTGAAAGAGATGGGAATACCAGACCACCTGACCTGCCTCTTGAGAAACCTGTATGCAGGTCAGGAAGCAACAGTTAGAACTGGACATGGAAAAACAGACTGGTTCCAAATAGGAAAAGGAGTATGTCAAGGCTGTATACTATCACCCTGCTTATTTAGCTTATATGCAGAGTACATCATGAGAAATGCTGGGCTGGATAAAGCACAAGTTGGAATCAAGATTTCTGGGAGAAATATCAATAACCTCAGATATGCAGATGACACCACCCTTATGGCAGAAAGTGAAGAAGAACTAAAGAGCCTCTTGATGAAGGTGAAAGAGGAGAGTGAGAAAGTTGTCTTAAAGCTCAACATTCAGAAAACTAAGATCATGGCATCTGGTCCCATCACTTCATGGCAAATAGATAGGGAAACAGTGGAAACAGTGTCAGACTTTATTTTTCTGGGCTCCAAAATCACTACAGATGGTGATTGCAGCCATGAAATTAAAAGATGCCTACTCCTTGGAAGGAAAGTTATGACCAATCTAGAGAACATATTAAAAAGCAGAGACATTAGTTTGCCAACTAATGTCCATCTAGTCAAGGCTATGGTTTTTCCAGGGGTCATGTATGGGTGTGAGAGTTGGACTATAAAGAAAGCTGAGGAGGAAGAGCTAAGATGGTGGAGGAATAGGATGGGGAGACCACTTTCTCCCCCACAAATTCATCAAAAGATCATTTGAATGCTGAGCAAACTCCACAAAACAACTTCTGATCGCTAGCAGAGGACATCAGACACCCAGAAAAGCAGCCCATTGTCTTCGAAAGGAGGTGGGACAAAATATAAAAGATAAAAAGAGAGACAATAGAGTTAGGGAAGGGAGTCTTAATAGAGGAAGTTTCCAAGCATCAGGAAACCCTCTCACTGGTGGGTCTGGGGGAAGTTTTCAAATCTCGGAGGGCAACCTAACTGGGAGGAAAAATAAATAAAACCCACAGATTACATGCCTAAAAGCAACTCCCAGCAGAAAAGTACCCCAGACGCTTGCATCTGCCACCAGCAAGTGGGGGCAGAATGGCGAGGAGCGGGCAGCACTGCTTAGGGTAAGGACCGGGCCTGAAAGCCCTGAGGGCAATCGGAAGGAGCTGACATGAGACAGCAATTTAAACTGTGGGATAGCAAGAGAGAGAGAATTAACCAGGGAAAAGCCCTAAACTTAGGCACTACCTGTCCATTCCCAGAACAAAGGATTGAGCGAATACCAGAGAAGAGCTACCCGACTGAGGACCGGCCCATCCCCCACCGGAGGCAGGAGGCAGGGGGGAGGGGAAAGGGGCAAACTCGGCCCCAGAGATGGCACCCCTTACCAAACTGCAAACAGACCTCCAGTCTCTAACCAAAGACTTCCTGAGATTCTGGATGGTTGACATCCACCAGGAGCGTC